CATGGCCCTTCAGTTCGTGAAAAGGATGAGCGAGTGAAAAAGGAAAACAAACTTTCAGTGGACGGTCGCTTATTTTTCAAGCAAAAACAAGCTGACAAGACATGTTGTAAGTGAGATGTATCAGAAGTATAAGTGCCAGGCTGGTGTAATGACAGTTGCAGATTCCATTGATGCCGTGAAGGCAGTTCACAACCATGTTGGGAATGCAGCTGATATAGAAGCTTTGAAGGTTCAGGATGTTATACTGATCGCGCAATAAATGGCCAAGAAGCACCCTGATATATTTCATCTGTGTGTCTGTGGGACATACTGCGCAGACCGACAGTATCAAAAGGACGATCTGAAACATCAGAACAAGGAAACAAGCAGCACCATTTTTGCCTATGACTCGAGAGGAAATTGTATTTCTTGAGGAGTGCAAGATATTGAAAAAAATTGAATCGTTCTTGCCGTTTGATTCAGGAGCGACGAAGATAGAATTGTTGTATCTTCCACCGCAGGAAATCTCCCTTTACTGGCCTCATCTGAACATTGGTTGGGTTGGGAGAACGGAACTTTGAGTGCAGTGCCTCATTTGTTTTACCAACTCTACACACTTCATGGTATTCAGGTGAAGTTCGTTTGAATTCCGTTTTTGTATGCTCTACTACCAGACAAGACAGAGGCCACATATGTTGGGTTATTGCAACAAGTAAAACAGCTTCAACCTGATGTCTCCCCAGAAACCATTATGACCGATTTCGAAGCTGTTAGTGCTATTCGTCTAGAATCGCCAAGGGCTAGACATCGAGGACGTTTCTTCCATTTCTTGCAGTGTATATTATTATAAATTCAGGACGAGGATCTTCAACGAATGTACGAATTTGCAATTAAAATGCGATTGTTGTTTGTGTTAGCCTTTATCCCAACAGAAGATGTGGTAGAAGGTTCTTAGCGGTAGCGTGATGACATGCCTGTAGAAGCACAAGGCATGATTGATTACTGTGAAGACTGCTGGACTGAACTTCCTCAACGGCGCATGGGATGCCAAATGCCCCTCTTTTCTCTGGAAAGGTAGAACCGTTACGAAGGAGTAAGACACCGTCTTCCAAAGAGAAACAATTCAGTTGAAGAGTGGCGTCGTTGATTCGGAATGCAAATATCTGCATAACACCCTAATATCTGGAGGTTAATTGAAACGATTCAGCGGGAGCAGAGCATCAGAACATTGCAGATAGAACGATATGTGAGTGGCCAACAAGATTGCCCAGCGCGTAAGAAATATAGAGATTGCGCTGAGGCTTTTCAGAGTCGTTGCGAATTATGACAGAAATAATATTTTAGAATTTTTGAGAGGCGTGGCACAATATATATTACTAATTAGGTATTGGAGTAACAACACATTTGTATGCGTGTAAATAATGTTTCAGAAGTTTTTCATTCAATTAAATGATTTCAATGAAATCTGTGTTTTATTCGAAATTTATAGTTACCTACATCATTATCATATTCAGGCCAATTAATTCAAAATCAGCACATTTTAATATTTTTGAAATATCGACGATGTCTTATGATATGAAATAAATTGAGTTTTCCACGTTTCATGGTTTGAATAAATAAATCATCGGAGATCAGTTGTCAATTCGATGAATTTTCCTTTCGACGAATGGCGAGTCGGTGAATCTTCCATGCGGCAAATTTGCCGGTCGGTGAATTTTTCAGTTGGTGAACTTTCCTAGATCCATCGACCAGGAATCGCTACCTAACAGGACGCGGAATCTGGGCGCTCCCGCCTTTGTTCGGCCCACGTATCCGGATTTTTGTGGGTGAGAACTTCCCTTTTGTTCACCCCACGTCTAAGGTGGTTTGCCGGGGGGCCGGGGGGTAGGGCGAGTGCGATTGCCTCCGACTGCTGCGCTCGGCCCAGCAACATGATTGATCGTCCTGAGTAAACATGTGCTGTTTTACCGATGTATTCCTTCAATGTCTGCGGCGCACGACTGATCTTGGGCGACCGTCGCAGGGCAGAGTCAATTTCTCGTTTTTCAGGACATTTGCTTGACTCAGTTTCTAATTCTTGTTGTGGGGTGACAGAACGTTTCAATCGAGAAACATAAGCTGAAAAATAGGCCATTTTCCTCTGGTTCAGTTAGCTTGAATATCTTCGACCTTGTGCCTAAATGATCCCAGCTGTCACTGTACCTGGAACAGACCAATGTACTTCCTAAGCAGAAATTTTGCTGCAAAGCCTTCCTCCATTATGGTGCGACCAATCAGTACTAGAGTGCCTGGTTTGCGGATCATGTTTGGGTGGCGATGAAGATCGTAGACCGTTTTTTGACGCCTTTGAGCAGTGTTTCACTTCCATTCGACCGTTCAGCAAGCTTCTTAACGGAGTATTCCGGTCCATTACTTCGTCTATTGGCCAGGTAAACCGCGCATTCCTGGCAACCGCGCCATCTGGTCGAACGTTTACTTGATAGCCGTTGCTCTTACCGTAGACTGCTTGACAGTATTCTTGGCAAACCTGACGAACGGTACCATTTCGTCCAAATTTCGTTAATCTGCAATGGCAAAACTCGCTTGAATATCTATTCTGGTCCAGATGGCATTCTTACATAAACCGATATTTTCAGGGTGAGCGGCGGAAGCAAATGAATTCCTTGTACCGAGCAAGTCTAGCGCTTCTTTCATGGCTTCTGCGGCAAACCTTGGTGCTTGATCACAAATAATCCTCTCCGACACTCCGTGTTTTAAGACAATCTTTTCTACAGTAAACTTTTCGAGACTGTCCACGCCGCTTTCAGGTACAGCCTTTTTGCCTACGTGCTTCGTTAGGTATTCGGTAGCCACTACGAGATGTCGATTGCCTGCTGATGTGACAGTCCCAGATGATCCATTCCCCGTAGCAAAAACGGCCGCTTCTGGCGGGATTATCGGCTGCAGTTTCCAAGTCTTCCTTTCTCTTGACATTTTCCTCATCTGGCAGCATGCACAACATCACACATACTGCCGCATAGATAGCGACAGGTTTGACCACCAGAATCGCTGCCTCAACCGCGCTTCAATTTTGTCTCGCCCACTCACTGGCTCATTGTGATAGGCTGACGTCACCTCCCGACGTAGCACTACAATCGGTACAGGTGTTTTTTTCAATACAGTACCCCTTCATGCAATCGAAAACTGTATTGCTTCGCCTCGCTCTCCCGTGGCTCTTACTGTGATTCAAAGATAAAAAGAGCCAAAATTCGATCCCGCTGCCATAGACCCAGTTCAGATCAGCTTACCGCTGGTGAAATTGGTATCATAATCATAATTAACCTTAACTCTGTCAAGGCATCCTACTGGAACTCTGGAAGTGGCGTCGACTAACCCATTCGCTCTACAGTGCTGCATAGCAAAATCTAATTCAGTGGGGACCAATTTGGTGTACTTTCTGTCAACATCCGTTTTCATATAGAGCCAACTGACGGCAGCGTTCTAAGGTTTTAGCAAGAGATTTCGCCCATGAATGTACGGCCCCTTCAGAATATCATTTCCTCTCAGCAGCCAATACCCGACGACGAAGGTAGGACACTACTGCTTCCTACACGTCTTTCCTTTGTACAAGTACT